TGCCACAGTTTTTGAGATATCGATCTTAAATTTTGCACCTGTCTTTTTCTCACTAAGAAGCTGTTCATTTGTTGGAACGGTCGATATCGGACCACTATAGCATATAGCTGCCATACAAACTGAACAATCGGAAGCAAGTCTTTGTATGGAAAACTTTTTGCTTTGACGAGATATCGTTACGAAGTTTGATACGGACATAGTGTTCAAAGTAGTGGTAGTAATTAATATATTACATAATATTTGTTTTCAGGTAATATATTTAGCTGCAACTTCAAATTCAGTCATCTCAAGTTTCCCTAGCGGCATTCTTATCGCTTCCCAAGTGTGAATGAGAAGTTTTGATGGAGATTTTGTTGAATTTTATTAAGTGGTAAAGTCTTTGCCATGAATACTGGCATGCTAGGAGTCTTATGAGTGTCACTTAGCAACAGCAACCAAAAGAGCAATTATATTAAGTTAAATCGAGCGATATTCAGAACGAAAACAACAACAACAAACGCAAACTTTGATCAATACTGTCCAGCTATTTAACGAAATGCTGTGGAATAGTTGGAGAGCGAGTAAAGAAGAGTCAGTCACATAGAAAGCTAGCAAAGGAGATATCGTTACTTGCGTTGGTGGGTATATGTGAGCTTCTGCGGCTAAATCATTGCATGTTAACCTACTTATCCCTATATTTACAAGGATACACGCACTTTTATCAAACGCAAACATATTGCTCTAGCGCTTAAACATGTATATCTGCGTATATCTGAGTGTGTGTATAACGCTGCGCATGTAAAGTGATCAACTGCCTAGGAAGCGCTACACACATGCAGCATAAATGATTTATCTAACCGCATATAAGCACATAGATATGTGATTAATTTATATGTATATATACGTACATATATACTAAATATATAATCTCTAACATACCATATGAGCCATGAAACCATATATACATATATATGTATATATATACTCGTATATATATATTGCCACAATTTGCTTATCACAATTTAGCTAATTTATTTGCAACATGGCTGCTATGTTTTTGTGGTTGTCACAGTGACAGCGTATCCACCGCAGATGCTTATAAAGAAAATGTTGTTTTCGTTGATGATTAACCATCCTAATCGGGTTGGTGCTCATGTTTGTGATATACAGTGTTAATTAGGTCATCACATGACAGATATGGGTTGTTGTTGTTGTGGTAACCATTTAATTCAATTTATTTCACGGTCAGCAAAGGAAAGAAAACATATTTATTTCATTTCGAATTTAATCGTTGCCGATAAGAAGATTCTCTAAACTAAATTTATACTACTTCTATATAAATTTCGAATAGCCCTAACATTTAAATCATTTTGTGACCAGCTCTAGCATTTTTGAAGATGAATGTGTTGAGCTCTAACCTATCGGAATAAAGAAAGCATTCACTACCAATATCCCTCTTTACCTACGAAAGTGTTCGAAGACACATATTCTACACTTGTAGTGTAATAATGCAGTAACCGATATTGTATTTTCACCATCCTTATATGCTCAGAACTATCAGAATAGGAACAAAAAATTTCAGGTTTACTAATAGCATAACTGTTATTATTAAATACCAGTAATAATACTAACACAGTGTTTCTGTTAGATCATTAATACAATAACCTTTCAAATTAATACCATTTCTATTGGTATTGTAACTTATTAAGATTTCGATTATAATTACCATTACAAGTAAAGTTACAAATCATAATGAATTAAAATTTCGTCGCTATTATAATTACCATTATCAGTATGTTTACGAAAATGCAATTCGCTAACATTACAATTACCATTACAATGAGGAATGCTATTACCAGTATGATTACAAAATTCTAATTAGGATAAATTTTAAATACTCCTACTGTTAGTTTATGAAATAATTTCTCATTTATTTGCCATTTCTCTTCCAAATGCTAGTAGCATTAACTACCATTACTTTCCTGGTTTCTAAATACATTATCACTCCCAATTACGTGAGGTGTAAATTTTCTTAGCTATTTCAATCAGGAAATTTCGCGCACTAATAATTTTACAACCTGTGGCTATACTCCAACTGATTGCTTCCAGAAACTAAAGAAAATAAAGAAAGTACCAACGAGCGCTCAGAACCGAATAGGAAAAGATAAAAAATTAGCGCTACGAAGCCAAAAAATCACTTGCAATAAACAACAAAGAGCGGCATTTGCGCAGCATTGTAAGTTTTGCTCGCCTTTAGCGATTAAGTGGCAGCAACCACATTGTCGGCGTTCAGCTCGTCCGCTGAAAGTTTATCACTTATTCTATTATATAGTTCTTCATCAAAAGTGTATAACCAAAAAGAAAAAATTAAATGAAAAGAAAAGAAAAGCTCGGTAAGCAGCCACACCAACGGTAATCTACTTGCAACGTAGTGCTATTGAATTTTTTGATTTAGTGGTGCACTTTAAGCAATAGGCGGGGAAAAAGGAACTCACTTTTTTTCCTTCTTTGGCTGTCAGGTGAGTAGTTGAAACCTGAACTAGCGCAACTCCGTATTGCTTGCCAAAAAGCCCGGCAAGGCGCAACCTGCTTTGCTGCAGTGAGCATGCAGTTCGCGCTCGCTCTCTTGCCACTCACCCTGCCGCTTACAAATTTCACGCTGCAGGGCTTCTCTTCCCTCACTATTTTCTTAATCTACTTTTCTGTGCAGCGTAGATTTTCATTCCCACTGCTACTTTTGGGTGCGCTGAAGCCGCAGCCAGGTGTTTGGCTGTGGCACGTAGGTGTTGGCAGTGTTACCTATTTGTGGCACAAATACGTGGTGTGAGTATGTGCAGCAAGCGCGTTGACAGCCATGGGCAGCCATATGCCACACTAACAACAACTAACTGCATGAAATCAATATGTTCTTTTTTGTTTTTGTGGTTTTTGGTTTTGTGCAGTTCATGTTGTCCAAATTGGTCTCACATTAATCCATGTAGAGATCTTGTTTGACTTTTATTTTATTGTTTTTCGCTTCCGGCTTTTCTGTGACTTTTTATCTTCGATCTGTGAAGCAGAGGACAGTTTTTTTTGCTTTTCTTCAAGATTTTCTTTTATTCCTCAAATTTGCTGGATGTATTGTCTAGAGATGATTACTCATAGTAACGTTCTCAGTACGTTTGATTCACAGTACTTGCTTTTCTGGAGCAATACGCTTTGTAAGTCCCGTATTTTCTCATGTTGTTTAACATATAATGTCCATGAGCCTATACCTTAAAAAAATAGCCACAATTTCTTCTTAAGACAGTTAGTAGGTATTAGGCTAGGTACACTGAAATGACGATATATAAAAATGTCGAGACGTGTCAAGCCTTTTTTGCATACTTTCCATTCCAGTTTTGAATAAAATAGGCAACCGTATAACAACTTCATACTCATAGTCAAATTTCGATAGACTCGAAACAATTTTAACACAGAAATTACTGAAAGAACAACCAGAAAGTATAATTATTTCTAAATGAAATTCTATGTTTTATTATCCTAAAAAATAAACTTTATCTAGATAGGTAATCTTGATATCACGTTTCATCGTTGTGTTTAAACCATTTAGTGCCCTCAATTAAACTATTTATCTCCATAATGCTTTTGGCAGATTGACATTCGAGGTTTGGTACTAGATGTATTCCAAGAGTTAGATGTCGCGTAATAGAGGTGGGCACTCACAGAGGAAGTTTATAAACGTTTCCATACTCACTTTGAGTTTGCGGCAAGTATTGTTATAGGACATTCCCATTTTTAAAGCATGTTCTCAAAATGTTAGTCTTTATATACCTCCTGAACATATGTAATAAGTTCGTAGTTCTTGTCTTGTCATATTTTGGCCATATCTACTTCACTATCCTTCATTTGGTTTTAGATTTCCATCTGGAAAAAACTTTATCTAACTATCGATAAAAAAATGAAGACTTAGAACTTAGAGTTGATATTCTGGGATATATCAGACTCGCTTTAAAAAAAGGCCTAAGCCATTTTCGGAACAAGCAATAAATGCATTCTCCTTGACCAGTATTATGTTTTTAACTCTTTAAACACATATTTTTTATTGAAATCTTAGAACAATGACTTCACATTTCTATAGTATGGTAGTACAACCGTGCTCAGTGTCTGGTATAATTTATTAAGATAGGTCTTGTTGTTGTCCGGCATTTGGGAAAATTAACGGTATCAAAATACCATAGAATCGATGATTTCATATTTAAAGTATGGGCAATTGACTGAGGATTACTTTCAGAAAAACCATTTCTCTGCTTTGCGATACATGAACCGATAGCCGAGAATACGGAAAATGTTTATAAAACATCCTGAACTAATAGAAATAAGGTCTCTAAGTGTCGATGTTGCTGACATTTTTAGTTTGTTACATAGCACTTAACATTAACTTCAAATAAGGCAATTACAAATGTTGTAATAAACTGGCCAAATATGAAATCTGGGCGTCAAGTGTTCATTGAAATGCCAACTGTAGTGCCACCATTATCGATTATCTAACAAATTGAAAGCACACATAAAAAAAAAATAATAATCATGCGTTACGAGAGACGATAGCTAAATATTTATAGACAAAAGTACCAAAAATAAAATTTGAATATATATAAGCGACTGAATTGAGTCTACGAAAAAAATTAAAACCAAAATATGTGTATGTACATATATTCGCCCAAGCAAAGCTTGACACAGAAAAATCTGGCAGCAAAGCAAAACAAAGAAATAAATAAAAGCAAATTTATTGCAGCCGCTGCCGTGACTTTGGAGACGCGCAAACTTTCGCCACTTAAAGCGCCCAATCACGCGCGTTACGCTTCCAACCACATGTGCTATTTTTGGCTAACGGCTATGTAGGCATACCTCGTATCCACTCAACGCCTTAAGCTGTTTATAACGCTGAGCCCACAACAATTTCTGCAGCTTGTAGCTTCTCGCGCTTCAACTAGACGCCGCTGCCGCTTACTACGATTAAATTAGCGCAGTAATTTGCAAATAAGCCGCGTGATGCGTCGATCCAGTCCAGTCGTGTTGGCCCACTTTACAAAAAATCAGCTAGCGGGTGCGCTAATGTGGTGCGCCACGGTCAGTTAGTGTTCGGCTGTGGAGAAATGCGCGAGTGTCCGGCACAACAGTAAAAGTACTTGAAGTGTTTGTAGCGAAAAAGTGTGAAAAATAAGTTCCGCAAAATAAAAATTAATATATTTAACAATGTTTAAGAAAAGTATAATTTGCAGCCTGCTATTAGCAGGTGCCATAATCGCCGTCACATGTACTACCGCCACACAGGCCACTTATGAAGTGAATCTATTACGTTTGCGTAGTGAACCTGCCGCGCTATTGCGTCAATCACAGAATACCTTCATACAATGGGTGCTCTCGCTCCTGCCCAATCGCCCAAATATATTCGGTGTGCCGGGTAGCACAACTACAACATCGCCTGATGGTTTGACCAGCACCACAGAATTTGCGCCAGCACCGCAACCAGCAACCGCTACAACAGCAACAGTGCCAAGCACCAGCACTACGTTGGAGCCCACAACACCAGCGCCACCGAGCACGACGGCAGTACCGACTACCAGCAGTACTGCAGCGCCCAGCACAACGCCCGCACTACCTCCGGTCGTACTCAAACCACCACGGAATTGCACGGAATGCGTTTGCGGCATAGCCAATACACAGAAGCGTATTGTCGGCGGTCAAGAGACTGAGGTGCATCAGTATCCTTGGATGGCTATGCTGTTGTATGGTGGTCGCTTCTACTGCGCCGCTTCGCTCATCAACGATCAATTTCTTATTACTGCTTCGCATTGTGTGTATGGCTTCCGCAAGGAGCGCATTAGTGTTCGGCTGCTGGAGCATGATCGTAAGATGTCGAATTTCCTGAAGATCGATCGCAATGTCGTCAATATTACCACCCATCCCAAATATAATGCACGTACATATGATAATGATATCGCCATCATACAGTTGGATAAACCGGTGGAGATGACCGAACTTTTGCACCCGGTTTGCATGCCCACGCCGGGCAAGTCTTTCAAGGGTGAGACTGCTGTGGTGACTGGATGGGGTGCTATTAAAGTGGGTGGACCCACTGCTGATACACTGCAGGTAAGCAAAATTTTAAAATAGAGGTGTCCTTATCGCGTTGTTTCAAACTATGCTGAATATTTTAATTAATAGTAATATAATAATTTCTGCATATTCGTTGGGCAAATCCATAGTCCTAAAATAGGAACAAGTTTTATAGTCTTTCAAGGTATAACCAAAGCCTTTTATCGTATTTGCGTATTTCGTTATTTGCTCTCCGATAGTCTCGCTAGAGACTCGTTTACACCTTGGCTTATTTTTAGTTTGTTGTTCGCAATAACCGACATTTTTATAGTAAAATAATCCAATTAAATATGATATTGTAAGAAAGATAGATCCATTTTTTCTGAATTCCTTAAAACCTTTTGTCTGGTAGCAAGAAATAAGCTCACACGGCTCAACAGACTTATTTAACATATTATATAAAGGAATTTCTTCTCAGATCCTCATAAAGTCTTTAAGGTCTATTTTATACTTATAAATGACTTTACCTAATAAATCACATATCTTGTAAAGCATATTTAAAAGATGTGACACCATTGAAATTATTTTAGATTGTTTTTCATTTGAAACCTTGTTCCATTCAATGCATATTTTTATTTAACAATTTCCCACTTTTCGGTCGCTCGTCTCGAACAGTTTTTCAAAGTTTTTGAATTTGCCAGTGCAAGTACATCTGTCTCCTTTGAAAGACACCTTATCCATTATGGGCAGACACTTGCTATACTCTAAGTCATGGTTCATAGTTCAGGGTTTAACAAAGACAGAATAATTTGTTTAATAAAGAAACCTCAAAACCAGCACCCAGTCCGAAAATTAGCTAAGCCAATCCCTTGGTTAATCGTCTAGTTTTTCAACACTTCGGACAGTTTTCACCTTTGCTTAATATCTCTCCTAATTTCCGACAAATTTTATAATATATTAAGCCTTTATTTTATTCTCCAATTTATATTAACCAAACAGGAAGTACAAGTGCCCATCATGTCGCAGGAGGATTGCCGAAAGTCTCGCTATGGGGCAACGCGCATCACAGACAACATGCTGTGTGCCGGTTTTGATGAAGGCAAAAAAGACTCCTGTCAAGGTGATAGCGGCGGGCCGCTGCATGTAGTCGCGTCCGGTACTAGAGAACATCAAATTGCTGGAGTAGTATCGTGGGGTGAAGGTTGTGCCAAGGCTGGATTCCCTGGAGTCTATGCGCGCGTCAATCGCTATGGCACATGGATTAAGACGGTCACAAGAAATGCTTGCCTTTGTCATTCGGAAACCAAGAAGATAAAGAAATTTTAATATTTCGGGGAGAGTAACGTAAAAGAACAATGATGAGAACGCAAGGCGCTACAGAGGTTGTCAGACGTGAACTTTCATATTTATTTGGGTCACTTGAGAGAGAAGTTTGTTGATTGGGTTAGTTAAGTTTTATTGCAATTACCGCTTAGTTGCTTTATTTATTTATTTATTACATTTAAAAAAATAAAAACAAATTGCCACTAAGACTCCGACTTTCTAGTGCGATTTCGTTAGACGGTTTCGAGTTCCAGCCAGTTTGGGAACTTTCCTTTCATTTGTTTGTCGTTTTTCACAGCAGTTTCTGTTATTGCATAGAGTACGTGCTATTTTTTATAGCAGCGACCGTTAAATTTATTGTTGTTGGTGCATCTTGACCATTGCGATTTCGTGAATTAGCCCACTGCACCCAACTTGCATATCAATTAATCCCAATCGCAGCCGGTTTCAATTGGGAAAGTTGTTTGAAAAGTAGTCATTGGCATACACAGAGGATATTTCTAAGCCGCAAATAATTGGACAACTAGTCTGCTCTCCACTATAAACCGGCTAAGTAGCTTAATTGTGAAACGCTTTCGACAGCGTTGACTTCTAGGCTCAAAGTGCGTTTTTCCAGCAAACAGTTGCTGCACTTTGCTGCATCTAAGCGGTTCATACCGACGAAGTATACCGAGAATAATATGGCTTATAGATATCACTGGTTAACTGCATTCATCCTGGTGCATGTATCCTTGCACTATGGTGTCACCTCAGTTGTACCCGCCACCGCGGCAACACCAACGGCTCTACGGCAGGATAACATTATCGGTTGGATTACAGCGATTTTCCGCCCAAATACAACCGCCTCACCGCCAACGTCCAGCTCTGCAACGCCATCCACACCAATGCGCAATTGTCCGTCCTGTAACTGCGGCAACATCAACACCTTTCATCGCATTGTCGGCGGCATGGACACAGAGGTAAATGAGTATCCTTGGATGGCAATGCTGATGCGTCGCGGCGACTTCTATTGCGGTGGCGCACTGATCAACGATCAGTACGTGCTGACGGCAGCACATTGTGTGCGAGGTTTCAATAAGCGTCAGGTCTCTGTGCGTCTACTGTCGCACAATCGCACGGACGGCCGTGTGAGTACGATCGATCGCCAGCTCGATAAGATTATAGTACATGATGGTTACAGTATTCGCAATTTAGATAATGATATTGCATTATTACGTTTCACCGAACCTGTAGAGTTACGTGATCCTTTGCGACCCGTTTGTCTTGCGGAGGCAGGTAAGACCTATGATGGTGAGTTGGCTGTGGTCACTGGCTGGGGTGCCATAAAGGAGGGTGGCTTCATAGCTGATCGCCTGCAGGTGAGTAGACACAACTTGCTAGCTTTATTTTTTACTCATATTTACTCCTGTAGGAAGTGCAAGTACCCGTTATGTCACTGGAGACCTGCCGCAAGAGTAAATATGGCTCTGACCGCATTACAGATAATATGCTTTGCGCTGGTTATGTTGAAGGCGGTAAGGACTCATGTCAGGGTGACAGCGGTGGTCCCTTACATATACCCAATAATGCGACGAAGTCCTATCAGTTGGCTGGCGTCGTGTCTTGGGGAGAGGGTTGTGCACGTCCCAACGCACCGGGTGTTTATACGCGTGTTACTCAGTATTTGGATTGGATTGAAGAGCGTACTAGTGATTCATGCAAATGTCTTGCTGGTGGGGGTGGTGGTGCTGTAGGTGAGAGTAGTAGCACAACACAAGCTGCAGAAATAGCAAGTAGTGAGTCAAGTACTCAAAGTGTTGTAGATACCACGTCAACCACGGCAACCACGCCAGCAAGTGAGAGCGGTAATATTCCCGAAGCATCAGCAGTGTAAGTTAATGTAATTATGAAGATAATTTAAGAATTTTGAGAAAGATTTTGCGATGATATATAAACAAGACCTAATTAAAAAGTGAGTAAAATAAGAAAGCAATGTAGAAGGGCTTAAGCTAGAGATTTTTATTTTTGGTTGCGTATGCGAACGGATAATGGATTAAGTGAGGAAAGGGGAGGTACATAGAGCATTAAATTGGTGAGGATCTGTATTTAATTCTCTCTAAACTATTGGTTTTTAAACTGAGTAATGGACTAAAATGAATGTTAATAAAAACTGCAAACAATTGTAAGAGTTTTTTATATACTTATATATTTATTTATTTATGTATTTATTCGTTAAAAATTCAAATATTTGTCTATAAAAATAAATTTTTGAAAATTTCAATGTGATGGTTTCACTAGGTTTTCACCATACGTTTAATGATATAGTCACTTGAGTTTTTCGGTAGTTAATTAAAAAATAAAGGGTGACCCATTTCGAGGATTTCTATTCTTTTAAAGAAAGGAATACAGAAAATTCAAATTTAATGGGAAATGTTTATTATTATTCGAAAGAACAGTCTTTGGCACTTTTCTTTTGAAGATTATCTCTTTCAAATAATGGCCGCAGCTACGTCCCCGATGGTCCATTCGTTGAGTCCAATTTTCGATAACTCGTTTGAGCATTTCGACTGGTAACTGGCGAATGACAAAAAAGCGTATAAAATACAGCTTGTGCAAGAACTGAGGCCGCTCGTGCTTCCAAAGCGACATCGCTTCGCTCTATGGACTCTTGTTCCAAAGTTCCAAGAAGATCCAACGTTTTCAAGCCAAATTTTGTTCAGCGATGAGGCCCATTTCTGCCTCAATACATACCTATTGAGCAAGCAAAATTGCCTCATTTGGGATGAAGAGCAACCTGAAGAGACTTAAGAGCTGCCATTTCATTCAGAAAAAACAACGGTTTGGTGTGGATTGTGGGCCGGTGGAATCATCGGTCCATATTTCTTCAAATTTGATGCCGGCGAGAACGTACCCGTCAATGGCGACCGTTATCGCGTCATGATAACCGGCGCCTGAAATTGAAGCTCATGATCTCGGCGACATTTGGTTTCAACAAGACGACGCCACTCCTCACAAATCGCACCAATCAATGGATTTATTGAGAGTACACTTCGATGAGCAGATAGTTTCACTTTTTTGGCCGATCGATTGGTCACCAAGATCGTATGATATCAAACCGTTAGACTTTTTCCTGTGGGGATAGGTAAAGTCGAAATCCGATACGGACAATTCCCCAGTCGAAATGATCGAACGAATTATCGAAGGTTGGACTCAACTGATGGACTGAACTTTCTTTAAAAAAGTAGGGAACCTCAAAATGGATCACCTTATATTGTCATAAAAAGACTTTTTCCGAATTCCAGTAATGTACTTCACAGATTTACCAACATTTTACGGGGGCTTTAACAGTTGTAACCTAATTTTGACAATTTTTAGTCATAAGATGACGCACCTCAAAAGCATATCAATTCTTGATATATATGCCGGTAAATGAAATAATGAGATTGAATTTAAAATTGTGTTATATGAGACGCAGGCGTGGTTTTTGTCTCATTTATCCCATTTTCGTAATTTAATGTGGAAAGATCAAGATTATACTACCTGTCGAATTTGGTTGAAATCGGGTTGTTAGTATCCGAGAAATAGGTTTCGACCTAAATATGGGTGGGGCCACGCCCATTTCTCTAACATGGCATTGGCTCTTCTAAAGCCTTCTTGGATCATCTTACGTATAAAATTTAATGTCTCTGGGGCATTGGGATATTGATTTATTTAGCTTTTAGTTATTTTTAACAAAACTATTACATGGGAAGAAGACGGGGTTATAATCCGATTTCATCCATTTTCACACTATCGATAGAGTTCTAATAAGATTTGTTTTTTACGAATTTGGTTATTGTAGCTTTAATGGTTTAGAACACATGTACATTAAATCTACGAGAGGGCGGGGTCAAACCCTTTCTTGTTTTCATTTTAAGCTCACAGCTGCCCCTTGCTACTTCAATCCCTAGTACTAAATTATTGGTTTATATCTTAATTAAGTGCTTGGTTATGTCATTTTATACGTTTTCGATGGCGTTTTATAGGCGTGGTAGTGGTCCGATTATGTTCATCTAAGAACTCGAATCTCGAAGATATCTTAATTTTTACTCAAATTTTCGCTTGTACACACGGACGGGCAGACAGACAGCCACTCGGTTTTCAACTCGTCTCGTCATCCTCATAATTTATTTATTCACAAGTGAGTCAACACAGCTCTGCCCCTTAAGTTTCTGACTTAGATAGCAAGGAACATCATATTTTAGAAAAGAACCCTTTGAAATATTTTTTAATTTAAAAACCTCGACTCAAAGTTTCCGTTATAGTGGACAACGACTTAAAATCAATTTCGGTGTATAAAAAAACCAGGCTTCTTCACAGTTCTGTAATTTGACTCTGAGTTCTGAGCCATTATCGCTATTAAACCAAACAATTGTGAAAGAAACGATAATCATATAACGGTGAGGTGAGATTAGTGGGCCTCGTTGTTTACAGATACCTACCTGCATACTTTTGTACCCTTAAGTTCTTCTAGATGAAATGATCGATATCAACGTTTTCAGCTTTCCTTATAGAATGTTGCATGATTTCCGAAGAGTTGGCTGATCAAAAGACCAAATAAAAGAAAGATTGAGCAATATACAATAATTAAAACAGAAGACGAAATTAATTCTGCTGCAGGCTATTTTCGGCTGATTAAACAGATATTTTGCTTTCTTTTAAGGTATTCATTTGCTCCGCATGGGAATACAAATTTATTAAAATGTAAACATTCAGAGGAAGTATTTCAAAACTATATAAATATAAACGCCATAACGCTACATAAACCTGCCACCCACAATATTCCAGCACTTTAAAAAGTGCTTATATATTCAATTTACGATATTGCTGATCGCGTTGAAGTTCAAGTGTTCGACAAGCTGTTGACTGACAGTCGTTCAGGCAGTGCTGCGCTTCTTCATGCTTCATTTGCTTCATCTAATGTTGCCACTGCTTTATTATTTCCACCTAAGTTTATATGATTTTCATATACCTACGCCCACCCACGCTTACCAAACGAAATCGATTTGACAGCTGATAATGCCAACAGCGAATGAGCGACCAAAAATAGAAAAATAAATTCTAACGTCTAGTATTTGTAATCTGAAATGTAATTTCCTCACCGTATAATTGAAAAAATCAAATCGAAAATTTAAGCCATAACTAATCGGCTTTAGAAGATGATTACTCTTATGTTCGTGTACGTGCGTGAGTTCGGTTATGCAGCGGTGCATTGCAGTCGGTGTCGATTGACAGCTGCCATAAATCGATCGTCACCTTGGCGACGAGCGCGTATATTAATCGACCGCTGTGAAGGTGTGATCAGCTATGCTTATGATGAGGGTTTAAAGCATCAAGGAATGAAGGCGGGTGAAGGTTAGAAGAGAGCATATGTAGTTAACATAAGTACCAAATGTGCTTAGAAGCCCATAGCTTAGCTGGTTTCTTTTGTTATTAAATCGATTTTAGAAATAGAGGATTTGTTGAAGTTACGCAAATGAAGTGAGTCATGTTAGACAAATATAATATTTATAGTTATAGGTATAAAATAAAATTTGAACTAAAATTCAAAAAGAAAAAATGCCTGAGCTTTAAGGCGTTTATTGAACCGTACTCAGTGAAACCTGCAAATCAGAATACTTATGTGGGTGTACTGAAATAAATCCTCTTAGTTTAAGCAGATAAGTTTGAGTTATGGTCGGAGTCGGATTTTATAAGATATAATTGATCCTAGCTGCTGATCAAATTATGCTAGTTATTATTGTAATATTTAAATCTTATTTTATCGCCTTGTCTTTATTATAGTTCTTTCACCAGAGGTCGGTTTCTCAATTAATCAATCCTTTAGTGATTTTTCTTTCAATATATTTTAAATTTTTTTTTGCCGTATGTGGGTTTGTTTCTTCTTTAGCGCATTCAAGAGTTCGTTGCTACTTCTGTCTTTTAGTTCAGCTTTTCATCCAGTTCTTTTAGTTCATTTATCTATGGAAGTGATGTTTTACCTTATGAATCGTTTGTCTTTTAGTTAGATAGTTCAAACAAAGTAAATGTCGTTTAGACTTTCTCTTTGGTTAGCCCTTGTCTTTCATCCGAAGTCCAGACTCTCTGTCCATCAGATCATATGATTATTGATCAATTTTCCGTCGATTGGGTCTTTTGTTCTTCAGCTGACTCGTCATTCATTCTGTATTTCAGCTTAGCCGTCCATTTACTTTGAGAATATAAAAGAATTTCCAGAGGTCTTTAAATCTGGTGACATTATGGTGAGATTATGTACCGTATTCCTTGCAGCCCGAAGTCAATAAAAATTAATTTTAATTTGGAGCAATTTTCCAGCTTTGTCTAAATTCTCATTTCGTCAGTAATTGCCAATGTTTACATCAAAGTAGAAATTCTCAATAAGAACTAATTTCTTTCCACTTCACTTAACACAACTGTCTAAGAGTAATTTTGATAAAATCGGCTACATAAATTCCGCTGACGAAGTCGATGAACAACTGCCAGCCAGCGCTCTTCCCGCAAACCAAATAGAAGCGATAAACGGTGAGCAATTTCACCAACTGTCGCGCATGTAGCGGCCACAAGCCGCAATTATGTACAGAGTAATTTTTGTTGGCATAACCACGCACCAACACACGCATACCAAAGAGAGGTTATGGTAGAAATTTTTTTCCAAAACAGAAGCCTATAAATTCCAATCAAAAAGACGATTTGCTGTCCACTAAACTATGCACTTAAATACCAAATGAAATGGAATGAGCTTAAAGGCAGAAGCCCACACGCTCCGTACATATGTATGTATGCATTTGAAGTATAAACAAGTTCGGGCAGGCTGGTCGAGCTGCTATTTTAGCCGCCTTCAGTGAGGCAACGGTCATAAAAAATGCGATAAATACGCAACGAAGTAAGTACGCGTGAGGAAGCAGCTGCTGGGGCAATGTTGGAATGAGTAGGAGCGCCGAACGCCACTATTGGCCAAAGGCATTTTCAATAAATTACAACAATTTAAAAAGCAATCAAAAACAATTTGACAATTGCATGAACCACAAAGTGTTTAAACCAAATCGTTTACAAAGAAAAGGGAAATAAAAAACGCGAAAAGATAGGTAAAGTATTAGAAAAGAAGAGCGTTACAGGAATAAAAGCTTCTGAACACCGCTTCCAGATTCCGCATTTTTAACTGAAGTTCGGCCTATGTTTATACTCTCTTATATATACTATATACTTATCTCAATCGACGCCGAAACAAAAGACTCCGTATTC